GTGAAAATGCTTATTTATTAACTGGATTAATAAAAAAGATTTGCTTCCATGTTTTTTTGTGTGTTCCAGTTCTGTGTGATTCACCTGGATTCATCATGACTCCTTCCGATCTTGGCTAAGTCACTAGTGCTGAGATTGGACAAAGTCCCCTCTTGTGTTTGCAGATGGCTGTCATGTGATTTAGAAGATATCACTTTTGCTTAGTGGTGAAATGTTACCAAATCAGCTGAATACGTTTATTTTTTATATTAAATGTCTCTCCCTCTCCTCAGTAATTATTGGTCCCAACATATAACCACAGTTTTTAGACAGAGCAGTACAGTGCGGCTGTCGGCTTTGTGAAGTGGGTAATATCTCAAAGCCACTGGTTTCTGGGAAATGTGGACTTGTGTTCTCCAATATTAAATGAGTAACTCTGGTGTCAGCAGGCAGTATTTGTTTGCCCACGCTGAGCTGAATTACCCACATTTGCAATAAAACTGTCATGTGTCCTGTCAAAGACTTTGTTGTGTCATGATATTATCACCTGCCCATTGACATGCAAAATAGCTATGCGTCTCAGTCTGAGATATTTAACCCTGGATGAGTCTCAGCAGTACATTTACAAACAAATAGTGGCTTAAACGAGGCCCCAATCAATGCAAGTTGATATTTAACTGCTCGCTGAGCAAGTGCCAATCTTTTGCTCTCGGGAATTCTGCCATTCGCAGTCACTTAGTCGCTCCTTTTTTGGACAAGGCAGCAGGTTTTTTTTCTAATTTAAATTTAAGGTAAGGTCAAATATATTTTGTTGAACATATTGGGACACTATTGTACATTTGAATAATTTGAAGACGTGGTGGAATACGCTAAACATTACTCAGTTATTTGTGAATTTTTCATGGTCTGCAAAGAAGGCTATAGCGATAAACTTTTGACTAACATTTGGATATTTTATGCAGATGTGAATACAGAATCTCTGTAGACACCACAAAGCACTGATAGTCAATATTGGGGTGGATTTTCTGTCCACCAATGTGCATATCCTACAACTGTATTTCACTGAACAATACATTTGCATTATTAGGATGTGGTTTGAGATGGCCCAAATATCTGCTAAAAACACAGTTTCTGTGTAATGTAATATTGGTGCACGTCCACAAAATCCTTTCGTGTGGCTCCCATGTTTTAGGTGTACTTCCAGATGATCTGGGTTCTTTTAAAAGAGAGAGCGAAAAGTGTTTGAGACCTGCAGACAAAACAGCAAAGAAACTATAAATAAATGGTGAAATTGTTGTTTTAGGAGGTCTGAACACGAAAGATATATTTATTGTTCCATAAGAGTAACTGAGCCACGCGTAATTTCTCTCTTTTACAGTAACGTTGTAAGGACATGGACCTTCGTCTGACACTCCTGTTGATCTGTCTGTGCAGCCAAGGAGCCACTGTAAAGCACTGAAATGACTTATTAATCACTTTTAAGATTATGAATGCTTGTATAGATTGTCATTTTATACTGTCTTTCTGCTCAACAGAATGGTGAGGTGGCAGACAATGAGTCAATCCCTTTGGTGCCTCTCATTCCTTTGATGCCCAGCCACCCCATAAAGGTTAGAGGCGAAATAGAAATGTTGTGGGGTCACAGCTGTTGTTCCGGTAAATTCATGGTTTTGAAAAGGTGTCCTTGTACTTAACATTTTCTTCTATTCCTGCCTTTAGAAAGTAGAAAATGAAAGTACAGCACAACCAGAAACTGCATATGCCACAGAAGCACCTGTAATTTCCACAACCATAACTAGTAGACCCAACGGGACCTCATCGGAGGAGGAACACGATATGGATTGTCAGTCCATTGGCCGAAGTCCACAGTCCAGGGAGGCCATCGCTGCTGCTATTCAGAAACTGGGTGTGCAGCTGCTGCAGAACCTGGAGACAACGCCAGAGCAGCCAAATGTCATCATATCTCCTTTCAGCATTTCAATAGCACTCTCCCAACTGGCTTTGGGTATATGCTGCAGCTTTCACATCACACATTGTACCTAAACAGCTTGTTTTCTACACATATGCAATCACCATATTTGATGAATTTTGTCAGCAACTTGCCCAGGTTTATAGTCGTCTGGAGACTGTCACCTTTCTCATCCAATTATTGCACCCCTCCTCTTTGCAGGTGCAGTAAATGAGACACAGAAGCTGCTGATGCATCATCTCCATGAACACACTCTCCCCTGCTACCACGAGTCTCTGCATAATGTCTTAGCGCAGCTCAGAAACAATGACCTGCAAATTGCCACACGTATCTTCCTGCGCCAAGGTGACTTCCCAGAAAGAACATGGTCTTTGCTTTAATCATTTTTAATGATACTAACATTGTACAGTTCCTGCTTGCATAAACATTCATTTTCTTATAATTTCTCTTATAAGTATTGGACTAAAGAGCAGCTTAAGGAGAAACAGAGCCTGAGAGAGTGTGTTTATCGTGTGTTTCAGGGTTTCAGCCAAAGCCAGACTTTGTCAGTGAATCCCAGCGGTTATATGACTCAGAGCCAGCAGTCTTGGAGAGCCTACAGCAGATAAATGACTGGGTAGACAACGCAACAAATGGAAAGATGACCGACTTCCTGCTTGCTTTACCACCCAATCTGCTCGTCATGCTCATTAATGCTGTCCATTTCAAAGGTGATATGTCGTCATATTCATATAATTACCCTATTTTCTAAGATGCCATATTTGCTGAGAATACTGATTCCACAGGATCCTGGTAAAAAAAACAACCAATGAATTGTCCAATTTGCAAGTCTTCCTTTTTCACAAGTCACTGTATGTTTAAATTATGCTTCTGAATAAACCTCTTTTCCATGTTACCCACAGGAGATTGGAAAGCTCGATTCGACCCGCGCTTTACCTCTAGAGGAGTGTTCTACCTCGATGACAAGCACATGGTTGATGTGGAAGTGATGGAAGATGCCAAATATCCCTTGAGTTTATTTATTGATAATGAACTGGAGGCTCAGGTAAAATGCAGTTTCATCACTCAGCCGGTTTTACCAGAATACACACGTCTTACTATATAGTTTGAAATTAAACTTTAATTTAAATGTATTTATTCTTCCTGTGCAGGTAGCGAGCTTTCCATTCCAAAAGTTCATGAGCTTGTTGGTGGTCATGCCAATGTCCGGCGAGTTGAATGTGTCTTCTCTTTCTGCAAAGCTTAATGTCTCAGACCTGTATAATCGTCTGCCCAAAGAGAGGGCCGTTCAAGTTAAAGTCCCCAAATTCAAACTAGAGTATGCTCAAGAGCTACAGGATGTTTTTACCAAATTGGGTAAGACCTCATTATATTTTCTCTTATGTCATGATTACCTGACTGAAGTTTTGAACATGCTATGGACTAGAACTGACCCTGTCCTCTCTGCTCTCTGTTAGGCCTTGGAGAGGTGTTTTCCCAACCAAACTTGGCTGAGATGGCAGACGGCCCCCTGCTGGTGTCCAGTGTGATGCACAAGTCCAGCATGGAGCTAAATGAGGAGGGTGCAGAGGCTGCCGCAGCTACCACTGTGGTCATCTCGCGGGCATCCAACCCTGTTTTCCACCTGAGCCAACCCTTCTTCTTCGCCCTAATGGATGATAAGACTGAAGTGCCAATCTTCATGGGTGTCATCAACAACCCAAATCCTGGAGCTCCTATCTTGCAGAGAGGAGAATTCGGAAGCAAAGATAAAGTGGGATTTCCAATTGATAAGAATCATGTTGGCTCATTTGGAGGCCCACCTAAGTAGGGACTAGTACCCACACTGCTGTTCCAGTGAAAACCAAGCCCACAAGCCCTTAAATTGTACAAATTAAATGTACTATATATATCCCTTTGCTGGATCAGAATGTGTGAAAACAGATGCTTCATGTTTCTTTATTTCACTGTAGAATAAACACACTGACTAGCTCAGTATCTCTTGCAAAAAACAAATATCTCTTTTTTTTAAAAAAATACAGTTTTGCTGCATTAGATGACATGTCCTGGTCAAGAAACTCTTAAAATTATAATTAGATACAATAACTGGTTTGTACCCATAGCAAAATCTGTCTACATTTCTGAGATAATTGATTACACTTTAAATTTAAAAGGTGTCAAAATGTAAGGTCAGCATCATTTTGTGTGTAGCTGAATTTTTAAAGATGTCATTATATGGGATAATAAATTGAACTGATTTGAATTACAACCTGTCAAGGTAATGGGTTTTGTTGTCTTCTTGATCTAAAAACTGTTATTGTAATCTGAAGGTAAATTGATGCGTTTATAAAAATGGGAAAAATATGTAACGCATAGGACAAGTTAAATATACATTGCCAGTGTTATCAAGATGCAAGCAATTTGTGTTTGTAACGAATAGATTAGTATTTAGGCAAGCACTTAATTGGTATTTGGTGGTCCTACACTGCCATTTTCCCCCATGTCCCCGTGATTAAAGTGGTGCCTTAATGATTGACTGTTATAAAAAAAAAGAGATGTGAGTTGTAATATGTTTGGCAAAGATTGATTTGTCATTATTATCTTTTTTATTAATAGTTATGAAAATGTCTACTATATTTAATATATTATTTCTACAATAAAAGTGGTGCGAGGTAAAATAATGAAGGGAAAAAGTTACTTCTTGCATAACGTTGTTAGAAACTGTGTAAACTGCCCTCAGATGTAGATTTGTGAGATTGAAAAAAAGGTTCACTTTATCATCATTGTAAGAGTAGTAAACTAATAATTTCAAAAATACGATTAACCAGTGTTTTCTTTGCATCATTTAATTTTTTTTTATTATTGTGGAAACGTAGAACTCCAATTGTCCTTTTCATTTGAACGCATCGAAGCAAGCGCCTGACGTCACTTCATGTTTAGCGCTGACATTCATGCGACTGATCTCCGGTCAGTTTTACAACGGTACAAGGCCTATATATTTACGGTGCTAACAGACTGCAAACTGATGTCGGATCTGTGAGCGGAAACGGAAATTGCGGCGGCTCCTACGACGCTTCGCGCGTTTGTCCAAGCTGTTGGCGCCAACGACACAACTCACAGACTACTGTCAGCAGAAAGAAGTGTCGACTTTCCAGCTTCTATTTCAATAAATTTGGCTTTTTTTGGGTCGCCAAATCATCTCACAGACATGACGCAGCTCACAGAGGGTGCCATTGAGGTAAGACTAATCTTCGCAGTATAACAAATGAGCTAAAACAGTATTTTCTACACGGAAAACTGTCGAAATTTAAGATGATTTTGTGTGTTGAAGTGCAGTCTTTGTTCAGCTGGGGTAGCTAGCGAGCAGTCATTTGTTTTCATTTCCTCTCTGTGTTAACCGAAAGACCAAAAACACGAACGTTAGTCAACGCCAGCTTGTAACGTTAGTAATTAATTAATTAATTAACGTTTGTGTCTTTTTAAAACACCAATGTTAGCGTACTATTGTCTGACGAAGTCGAAACTGAGCTACATGTTAAGACTTAATTAGTACGTTAGAGATAAAGTTGAGTTAGCTTAACTATTTTTTTAAATTTTTTTTATATATATATGAAACGTGTCAAATGTCAAACAACAAATGACTTAAGTGAACTAAAGATGTGTGTTTACAGGCTCTATCAAATGGCACCGGTTGTAACGACGCAGTGCTGCAGTTGGTGGTGAGTAACACAAAGCGAGGATTATACAATGTCCACTTAACATCCATGTTTAACCTCTAAGTTACATTACTGCTGATTTACTGACCTCACTTTACGTATATTTGGTAATAGTTTAAAACATCTGCCTGTCATATCACCACATTATGTTTGAATGATGTGAAGCCTTCTACAAACCAAACCTGGATCGTCTTTAGGGTGGAAAGAGTTTCTAAAATGACATTTCAGGTCATGACACTCAACTCATAACTACAAGGCTGTGTGTCATGTTACACAAATGCTTGTGTAGATTTATTTTTGAATGCACCACAAAACAAAAACTAAATGAAATGAATGCTGCCATAGTACGCAGAATCACATCAACACACACAACATAATATTTGGGAATCATTTATTGAACCACCTTTCAGAATATCCGCAAGATTGAGGGAGGAAATGGTTCCCCTCGCTATCGGGTGATGATGAGTGATGGAAAGCACACTCTGTCCTGTAAGTACCTGCTTTTTTTTTTTTTTTTTTAACTGCTTTTGACTTTTTTTCCCGCTCTCACATAAACTATATAATTAGATCTGAATACATAACAGACAATGGAAATTATTATTTGTTGTGACTATTTAGATTCATGATTGTCTATAAACAAACACTAAAGTGGTTGCCAGTATTCAGACTAGAAACCATCTTTTAAAAAAAAAGATTTTTCAGATTGTCCTTAATGAATATTATTTAATTTAAAAGTTAAATGTGGTTGGCATTCAAATGCCCACTGCAAGACAAGTGTTAAAATAACATGCAGGGTTTGTTTGGCTTTTGTAAAAGCATATGTGGTGATTTTTGCTTTTAATAGACACTTAATGTTGGATCGGCACAGAGTTGAAGACTTGTTTTTAGGAGCAGTTATTCTCAAGAGCCCTTAGTTGAATGAACCCGCGCTGCCTCTATATGATTGTCTTTTTCTCACTTTATTACACCTTTGCAGCCTTCATGCTCTCAACTCAGCTGAACTACATGGCTGAGGAGAACATATTGGCCCCGAACTGCATCTGTGTTCTGAAGAGGCATGTGACTAATATACTAAAGGATGGACGGTATGCAGATCTTATCTTTTATATCCAGATCTTGCCTATTGTATGTGTAAATTTGAGCATGTTTAGTAATTCTCTTCCACTACTAAACACATACATGGCTGTTTTCTGCTGTTTTATGGGGTCTTATTACAGACGCGTTGTAATTATTTTGGAAATTGATGTCATCGAGCCTGCCGGAGAGGTTGCTGGAAAATTAGGCGACCCTACTCCTTACACCGAGGGTAAGGATTCAAATCACATTTCATAATATTTGCTGCTTACTGAATAATTAGTTTGTCTTGAAGCAGTGCTCAGGGAATGTGTTTATGTGGGATTAATGGGTTGTAGTGTCACTGCAAGCAAATGCTGATGTCGAATCTTGCTTTCAGGTCAGAGCAAAGGCCCGCAGTCGGCGCCAGCCCCTGAAGTCCGCCCTCCACTACAGCCACAAAATAGAAATGAAGGTTAGAGCAAGTTTCTATCTTAATGCTTAAACATGAATTAAAATGGGTGGGACTGAATATTACACAAACAACCACCAGATGTCGCTATTTCTCCACTGCTTTCTATAATTTGGGTGACCCACAGATTTACAGGACACAAGTAATTTTGACAGCCCCGTTGAGAAACATTTTCATTTTTAGCTTTCTCAAGAGTTTTTTTCACAGTCTTATTGACACTCATTCTCCAGAGCTCTCCTTTTTTCATGTGGATGCTTGGTGTCATAAACTTTAACAACTCTGGGCCTGTGTTGACGGGTAGCTGTCTCTGCCTGTGCACGTCAATCATTGCATTTATTTATTTATTTTTTTGGATGCACAGGAGAATACACAAACAAACAAATATGTACCAAGGCAGACTACCTTGAGAGTGTATATTAACCCCCACGAACAGATTTATTTTTGATACACTGGCAGTTGTTCATGTCAAAGATAAGCAGTGGATCACAGCATAGCAAATAGCTTGGACCAGGAGAGATGTGCAATCCAGCTGTCAGGAAGGGTTTTGCTGTCTTCTTGTGTGTCATAGCAGGTATTCATCCCTCTAATCTGCCATGTGGGAATTGAGGTTGTGGCAAGCACCCCCCTCATCAGCACAGTCATTGTTCATTTCTCTGTATGTGCTGCTTGATCTGGGGGCTTAATTACCAGAAGTGCAGTGGTTGGCAAAGTGGGAGGACTTAAGTGGACACTTTGAACTGTAATCCTCCGCGTGAGACGCACACAAATCAAATGTGCAGCGCTTGTTCAAACGGAAAATCTCGAAGTCAGGCAGTGCCGCTCTCCTGAGGAAGAGCAGCTCCAGTTTGTTATAGCATTTCACACTCTGCCCTGATTCTGTGAAATGTGAATCATCCTTCCAGCCGAAATGCTGGATCACACATCTCCAACAACTTGCTTTGACAAGATTTTTGTTCCCTGCTTGGGTCTTTCCTCTTGCTCGACTCGAGAGTCAACGGTGGTAAATTTACTTTAAGTCATTAGGTTTTTCTTTGATGAAACTTCCCTCATGAAGTGAGATAATTACAGTGATCAAGCAGTTGCAATCCAAAGAAATTGGATTTTTGTAATTCGTCTCTGATGAATAATGTATGTGCCTCTCTCTTGACTTCTCTCCATCACTGCTCTTCATGGATCATTTATTTCTCTCTTCATTCCCCCAGCAGTGAACAGAGGTTTCACTAAAGACTTTGGGAAGAAGGCCCCATCTGCCATGCCCAGTACTCCAGGGGGCAGCTCCAAAGTTGTGCCCATTGCCAGCCTCAACCCCTACCAGTCCAAGTGAGTACATTCCCCAGTCAGTGAGAAATGTTATGTCCGAAGTTTTATATTCACCATGTTTGGGACATTCGCAAGACATCACTGCATACACTTATAATAAAAAAAACAACTACTAAGCACCACCAAAACAATGTGAAGTGTTACATGTTGAAGGTAGACATTGAAGACAACAGAAGCTGGACACAATACCATGAACACCTATATGAGTTTTAATGCAATTCTGTACAATAGCCTATGTGATTCATATGTGAAGCTGTCAATTGAGACTGTCCCAAGAACTGCTGAATCAAGTCTGGCCATTTAGTGTTTTGTGTTCATTTTGATTCTATTCAAAGGTGCAGTGTTAATATTTTTTGCATAATCTGTGTAGAGCCAGACCTATAAATTGGGCTATAATATCAGCCAATATTACCTTATTCCAAGCATATCAATATTAGAGTATATGTTGAGAGATAAGTAATGAGATTGCAGAACAGAAATGCCAAAGATATGATTGAAGTAAGTTACATTGACTCTTCCAGGTCCAATGTGACCAAGGGAGGTTGAGGTGAGGGGATTGTGATCAGCAATGCTAGATGCCACTAAATCCTACATACTAGTAATTTTTAAAGGAATGAAAACAGAAGGTGTTTTGGGCTATCACAAAATATTGTCTTTTTCTATTTGCATTTTATTTTTTGATAACATTAATACATTAATAGAACACTGCAAATAAGCAAATGCACATGGTATGCGAACCGTCAATTTTACTGCCACCGTATACTGTGGTATCGGTATAGTGCTAGTAGTAGTTTATCTACTATTGAGCACTATAATTGTATCTGCTCAGTACAGATTGTGGTCTTAAAGAAAAATATCTGAGTTATTTCTGTAAAAATATTTGTTTATGTAAAAAAAAAAACCCAAAAAACTATAGGATTATATATGATTATCAGATTTTTGAAACTCTTAAATGTAAATATTGGTATTGACCTCAAAAGATTCAGCCTTAAAATAGGGTATCCAAAATGATACTTGTACCATTATGAATATTTGTGTTGGATGTAAACACTGGTTACAGAGACACAAAGTGTCAACACCTGACCCTGCCTGCGCAGTTCAACAGCACACAGAAGATAGGTGGATTTGCCAGACACAGGTGTTAGTGATAACATTGCTAACGACTACATTGCATTGAGTAGAGCCAGTGCAGGGCTCACGCTGACTTCCTGGCACAGCTAAATGTAACAGAGCCATGGTTAATGTCATTAGCTACACCTGTTCTTTTCTCTCCTGTGAGTAATCAAAATGTCCCTGAAAAGCCTGTTGCAGAGGAGGAACATAAATGATGCATGTCCTCTGTTGACTTTTCACATTGCCATTCATCCAAAGGCACACCAGGGGGCAGATTATTAAAAAGTTGATGAATGAATAAATTGTGTATGTAGGGTTAGGTTCTGGGTCCGGTCCATGAGGTTTTCAAAAAATGAACAACACTGACATGAATAACCTCAGACTTGTCTCTGTCTGGTAGGTGGACCATCCGTGCACGTGTAACCAACAAGAGCAGCATCCGTACATGGAGCAACTCCCGTGGTGATGGTAAACTCTTCTCCATGGAGATTGTGGATGAGAGTGTGAGTGTTATTGTGGTCCCACTATACATTTTAATTTCATGTAACTAACCTACGAGATATTAATGTTATTAGTCAATCATGTACTGTCCCTGACCTACATAACATCATGTTATACATTCTTACAGGGAGAGATACGAGTGACTGGTTTCAACCAAGAGGTGGACAAGTTCTTCAGCCTTATTGAGGTTGGCAAGGTGAGACGTTCCTCCAGATAATGATTCAAAAGGTCCTAATTATCTGCCAAAACTATCTCTCACTGTGCTGTTAAAGACGGATTTGGCCGCAGACTGTTCTAGCAACAGCTGCCAGTACTTTGTGAGTTAAAACCACAGAGACTGTGAATGAGTCATCTGGCTACACTGTACCAATACAATAAGTGGCTTATGATCATCTGCCAGCCTTTGTTGATCCCATCTACTGTCTGAAGTCGTATCTTGTTTACACCATTCAGTCAGGTGAAATGCTCCCCAGATCTCTGATTAACATGTGGTTCATCCATCCATCCGTATGGGCCAGGTCTACTATGTCTCCAAGGGCTCACTGAAGATTGCCAACAAGCAGTACACATCAGTGAAGAATGACTATGAGATGACGCTCAACGGAGAGTCCACCTTCATCCCCTGTGAGGACAGCTGTGATGTTCCCATAGTGCAGTGTGACTTTGTCTCTATCAGTGACCTAGAGAACAGAGACAAAGATGCCATTGTTGGTAAGGAGCACAGTAATGATCTACAGGGCATTTCTGCACCCAACCTGTGTGATTAAATCCCTACACAACTGTAACCAATCAGTTTCTTGTCATGTTCCCTACCTACATATACAGTGACATGTCATACTGTTAAAAACCTAAAGCTGTCTACATGGCCCTGAAATTCAATCAGCAAAAATTGTGCAGAGTCCTCAGACCTGATGGCTCTTGACAGTTCAAGCATTCAGTTGATACTGTCATCCTTAAACCCATTTAAACCCTCTAAGTACTATGCTGTAACAAAGAGAGGCTGAATGAAACATTTAAAGGCAGCCATCTAAGACGTTAGATAAACAGAGCCTACAGTCCTAGCAGATTAAAATATATAGTGGAGGAATAGAAACATTGAATATGTTCATCCCTTTTCAGCTTGTTACCCATGTAGTCAGCTCAAAATATTTTCTTAATGGGCCTTTACAAAAGTTTTCCCTTTTTAGTGGAAGCCCCATGTATTAAACTCCTAAACTGCCCCCCATCTAAACAATGTCTTTATAAAATATTGTGTAAAAGCAGCTAGTTAGACCAAAACATTATTTAATATTGAGAAACCTGTTCTGATACCTGCCTAATACACACAGTCCCATGCCTTTTACCCAGAATCATGCCTTGTAAACCCTTTCAGGACAAAGCTCGCGGCTCAGTTTGTTCCTATACTCCATTGTTGTAGTGGGCCGATCGGTCTAGAAGACACTTTTTGCCAACCCTTTTTAATTAGGCATTAGTTTTGAGATTATGTATTCTTTTCCCTAAACAAACGTACAGATGGCAGAGTTGTGCATAGGGGAACGTTAGTCATTGCCCATCAGTGAACGTACCGTGCACCAAACTACTGGTTGCTCATGTTTTTGTCTCCTACAAATCCTGATATATTGGTGAACATTGTTTTCCTTATGTGTGGCTTGCGATCTGTGAGGCCTAAACACACATCCTAATTCTCTCCAGTACGATGTGTTGCAAAATGCCCAAACCAACCAACTGATGCTCTGAGCCCAGCTCCTACTGAGGCGTTCCCAACCACCCAATAATAAGGTATCATAAGCAGAGGGTAGATTTTGTAGTGGAAAGTAGAGCCGGATATGCTGGGAGGTTGAGGTAATTACAGTATACGAGCTGAGAGATAAAAGTGGTATTAATAATACTGATGACAGTAATAGCCTGTAGTGCAGATTGACTTTGGGCCCTGTGGCAGAGCCGATGAGAAAATGAGAACCTGCTGTCACAGGTAAAATGAAGTAATAATAAGGAGTCTGCTTGTAATTCTTTTAATGAAGACTGCGGCTTGTACTCCTGTTTGAGTAATTTCTCTCCCTCCAGTCTGCATCAAACGTTAAATTTTGTTCAACATGCTTAAATAATTTTAAAATCCCTTTACTCAGTGGGTGGAGGTTTATACTGTAGATGAGTAATGTTGACGATGCCGCTTTTGCACCTTTACAGATAAATGGCTCTGCATCTATTATGCTTGATTGCATTAGTCAACCAAGTATGCTTGAAGTGCATTGGTGGAAACAATTAAAGCCCATTTCATGCATTTCCTCCTGCATTATGGATGTAAGTTCCTGGTACACAGGCCAGTGACCTCACACCTGATTTCAAATAAATGAATCTCTTTATTTCCCAAGAGCCAATTTGTGCTGCAAACCATGGGACCTAGAGTGACCTGTGGGCATTAACGCCCCAATCAATATTTATGATATGTATATGTGGGAAATATCCTGTTGGTCTGGAAAATTAAACCATGTGGTCATTCATGGTCTTCTCAAGAATGTCATATGCAGTATATGATACAATGTTGTAACTGTAAAGTGCGCATCAATTAATTTGGGCATAGAGAAATAGTTCCAGTTATCTGATGCTAATGTGTAACACTGATTCATGTTTTTCCGTTGCAGATGTGATTGGAGTTTGTAAGGGTGTGGAAGAAATTACCCGCCTCACCACCAAGACCAACAGAGAAGTGTCCAAGAGGACGCTCAATTTGATGGACATGTCTGGGAAGGTGGTGACTGTCACGCTGTGGGGAGAGGAAGTGAGTACAGGCATTAGACGGAGAGTAAAACATGTAATGGGGTAGAGGTGTTGTGTCTGGAGCTTTTTAATTGGATGGTAAGAATCAATATCAACCTTTTTATAATGCGTAGACGTTTATATTGGAATGGTTTCTTCCTAGAACACGAAGTCTTCTAAGATGTTAATCACCACCTGAGAATAACTGCTTTTGACCAAGTTTTCTACACAAAATACCTTTTTTCATGTAATGTAGGAGAGTAACCATTTACCATAAATGACTAAAGCTAAACTAGAGTTAGGTTACACAGTCAGGGGGTGAATGCAATGCCTGCAACACAAAAAGCCTGCAATAAATTCTCCCTTTCTTGAAGCTTTTGTTCAGTTTTTGGCGAGACTGTCAGAAAGGTGTTTAATTAGACTGGTTGTTCAACACATTTGCCGGTCACTGTTCAGCAGTTTGAGAATCAAATGCATTAAACAATGTGTGCAGTGTTTAATGGCGGCGGATGTGATTGAAATCGTTGACTGAATTCCCTGTCACGGGGTGATGAAGTGACTGTCCTGCTGCAGTTGATTTTTAACTGTGGCTCAGAGGGACTGTGCTGAGTTTGCTACCATTACTTTCTACCTGACAAGAAGCACAGTGTTCCCTGTTTGTTTGTTTGTTCGACAGATACCCCTTTCCGGAGGGACTCGCTGAGGCACACAAGATGTATAGTTTATAAAGAACAGTTGCAATGCCAAAAAGCTAGTGTTGGATTTCTCCCATCTCTGAGGCCTTTACTGTCATCCCCCCCCCTCCTCTCTGTTATTGTTTTTTCTCAGTTAGTGTCCTCAGGTTATTTTAGTAAAGAGCGCTGAAAAACGATGAAACTGACTGAAAATCAACTCAACGTGAAACATTTTCAAAACAATTTGACAGCAATCATTTTGGAACTGAACTAATAAGATTTGTGTTCATAGTCCATAGCACTGTGGCTCTAAGTATCATAATGTCTTTTTCTCATTAAATCGTGCCACCACTTTGGTTCGGACTGAAATATCTACTATTGGATGGATTAAGATCAGGTTTTTGTACAGACATTCATGGTCTCCAGATGATGCATTCTACAGATCACTTCTAGTACCACCATGAAGTGGACATTTGCATTTTTCAGTGCAATATCTTTTTTCAGTGTATTGCAGTGAAATTTGGTACAGCCATTCATATTCCCCATTGCCATCAGTCTCAGCTGTAGCACTGTGCTCAGGGCTGATTATCAAAACCTAACATGCCAAAAATCAGATGGTTAACATGGTAAGCATTAGACCTGCTAATCATCAGCATGTTAGCATGATGGTTTTAGCATTTAGCTCAGTACAGCCTCACAGCACCACTAGATTCTGTAGATTCTTAATCTTAAATCTGAATTAAATCCAAGTAACAACAAAGTTTTAATTGTCTGTCCTCTGTCCACATCTCTTGTTTTGTGTAGGCAGAAAAGTTTGATGGCTCTGGACAACCCATTGTAGCCATTAAGGGGGCGAAGCTTTCAGACTTTGGAGGCCGGTCCCTCTCTGCATCTTTCAGCAGCACCCTGATGATCAACCCAGACATCCCTGAGGCATATAAGCTCAGAGGCTGGTAAGTGAGTCTGATGTTCATAGATAATATATATGGGAATATAATTGTATACCCATGACAAAGTGCTTTGATAGCAGGTATGGTCTGGTTTTTCTATTCAATGCCAGAAGACTTTCTCGTATTTATTTCACCCGCTGGAAGCTTACTTCCTGGATGTAAGTATTACTGTTAAAATTGAAGAACTCTGAGGATTTAAATGGCGAGTTTCCATTTCCTAAGTTGCAAGTGTGCATGCTCTGATTCTCATTATCAAGATTAGTTTCCCCCCATTAGCCACAATGTGGGGGGTGCTTCAGTGAAGCATTACATATAAATGGAAATCATACTTAATCTGTGGAAATGCGCTTTTTACTCCTCTAATCGCCTTTCCAGATGAAATGAAATCCAGACTAATTTCTATGTGATTATGTTGATTGTTGCATTTCTTTTCTCTTGGTGTGTGTGTGTGTGTGTGTGTGTGTGTGTGTGTGTCACATATTCTCATGTTTTTTTCTCGCTTGAACACATAAGATTATGTGGAAATTAGCCAAGATATCTTTGTCTTTGAAATCAGAGTGATTATCTGTGTACATGTAACCATGCATTTTGCATTACAGTTGAATTTATTATAAGTACTAGAGCCAAATGCAAAGTCGTAGCATAGTGCACAATTAAGGCATGTGACTATTCCTTGAAGATTTTTTTGTTGGCTTTTCTTGCAGTGGAATAGAGAAACATTTAAGACTCAAGCTTTCATCTTTTCTTTGGGCTCACTTGCCAGTTCCTTGATTTCTTCTTTTGTGAATTATTTCCTCTCCCTGGTGTATAACATGGACAAAAATAACCGTGCACTAAATGTACGGATTTTGCCAGAGGTGAGCATAAAACACATTTTTGTTGTTTTTGTGATCTACTTCTAAACCAGCGGTTTTTCTGATGTGCACAGCTTCCACAATTTTTTTAATAAAATATTAACAATGATAGGAGAAGCAACTAATAAAGGATACAAGTTACATTTTAGCGAAATAAAGGTCAGCACAACAGCCCCAGCATACTGTTTGATTCCCCCCACATAAATCATATTTATTCAAATATGATTTATGCCCCCTCCTGCAGTGCTTCTATGCCCCACCAGTTTAAGAACAACTGTTTTAAACAAAGACATCATGTGGTCAGTGTGCGGTGCCAAGGTTTTCACAGATGGCTGTATGAAGAGGTACAGGTTGGTACATGATTGATAGATGAGGCAGTGGTCACATGGACCTAGATGGGGGTTGCTACTTAACCTCACCCCAGCGCTGTGTGGCACACTGATCTGTCCTCCTTTATAGATCCTGCTTAAACAGGCCGGGTCCGCCCTCCTCTCTGACACGAAAGCAAATGTCTCGATTTGAGAGTGGAGATCCAATCGATTCAATCCGAAGGGTTTCATTTGTTTACCTCCCAATACCAGTTCCTGCTTTGTGCTGAGGAATAAAAGACTGTAAACAAATTTATTTTGTGACAGGTCCAGTGCAGTCTCTTATTCTGCCTTTGACTAACGTGGCTGTGAGTATTTATACATGATCAGAGAACCTGATCTGCATAATCAGAGCAGTGAAATGCTGACTCTACTTTGCAGGTGAGAAAGAGGCAAATCACAAAATATGATCAAATGTGCCTCTTTAATCAGATGTCTTGGCTCATGTGATTTATTAATGATAGTTTTAGTGCCAGCCTCTGGCATCTCTAAATATATGTTTTTATTTTATTTCATATTTCAGAATGCCAGCTACTGTGAACTGCTGTTAGGTCTTTTTGTAATGGGATTATTTTATATTCACATAGCGATAGAAAGTGCTCCATTATCAGGACCACTCCTGGGTCTTCTGCTTTATTTTATCTGAACACCATTAACTCCTGAATCACGATTCCACATCCCTGCTGTTGTATAGGCTTTTTACACTTCATGCTCTCTTGTCTGTTTAATGACAGAAGGTTGTTCCCCACTTTCTCCAGTCACTTCTCACTTGGACAGCCAGAGATAATGATCCATAAATCCCTGTGTTGGTTTATCCAGTGCAGAAGAGGGGTTGGCCCATGTGGGTTCTCTTTGGACAATGGGTTCCTGCAGGTTCGCGGGCATCCACTAATGAACAGTTTAAAAGTCACAGATGGAAGGAGGCCAGACCTGACTCGTTACTCTCGATCCATGTCAATCCAAGTGAGAAGCATGGTAAAGATCGTTATGCAGCATGTCTGAGAGCTGTTATCCAGCCAACCTCATGCTGTGAAGAGGATGGAGAGACTCTTAGTTATTTATCTTTATTTTAATGCTGCATTACAGAGACGTTATCTAGTGATGAGAAGTAAGACTGCCAGCTGTTAAATACATAATGTGTATTTTGTTGTGTTGGTGATAAGCCTGGGTCTCAGGTTGGTACCCGTCCATAAAGTGGGTCGCTTAATGATTGTTCTGTATGCCAAAATGTGAATTATGGAAAACAGATCATGGAAGCAAATCAATTACACTCTGAATGAATCTTTTGGTGGTTATTTTTTTATCTTGCACAAAAAAACCCCAAATCTGTTTCTCCCTCAGCCAAACAAAGATACGCTTTTATTGTACAGCCAAGGCTGCTGAAACATCATTGTTTTACTCATGCGGAGGCGTCTTAATTTGATTGTGTTTTGGCGCAAACCTTTGGGACTTCCTCAAATGAATAGTCTATCCTTGGTGGGCTGTTGACTCAAACTCATGCGGAGTACTAGTGGTGCCGCTCAGCACTTTCCAGTGAGCTTATAAATAAAAATGCTGCTCTGTGCACTAATTATCTTGATCTTGGATTAATCTGGGGCCTTAGTGTGTTGTTAGAAGGGCATGTGCTGTATGCCCTCACTCACTTTTAAGATTACATGACACAGGTTGCTAATTTGACATTAAATGTACATTAATGTCTTCTTTATGGAAATTGTGGATCAGTGTTAAAAAAAAAAAATTTGACTTTACATTCCCACTTTAATCCATCTTAAGTGTGCAGATGCAGTTGTCCATTAGGGGGCAACAGAACATTTGGAGATGGTCATGCTGTCCTTTCCCATACTCAGACACAGCAGTCTCTTTTCTGTTGACTTCACTTTGTCATCTTTTTCCTCAGTGCTTGATGCTGTCAACCTCAGACATTCTCCAGACTCATTTAGTCACACAAGTCTAAGCTGACATTTTCCTTCTTCCTTATCATGACTCCAGTATATCCACATGGCCACAGCGTATCGTTAAGGCATTAATTGTCAGCCCAGAGCCCAAGCAAACAAGCTTTTAGTCTAGTAGTGACCGTGATGCCTCATTATTTAATTGACTGTTATTTTACCCAATTGTTTCACTGTGTTGTATTGTTTTGAAAAGTGTAAGAATTTCTAGCTGAAAAACTGGTGTTTACTTTTTAGCTGAACTGAATTCGTAAAGGACTGGCTGACCTAATGTGCATTCTCGCTTATTTCAGTCACCACTCTCAAAGTACCCTTCAACTAAGGCACCCAGATGCTTTACTAGGTCTGCAGCCTGTGATCTGTCTATTATAAGGAAACATAAACACATTGATTCTGCCATAAGTAGAATAAAGGAAAACACATGTTCATCCATGTTCACATTATAATAAACTTACCACTGTGGCCTCCTTTAACTTACTGGTAACTCAGTTTGACCACATGTCAGTCACTACAGATGATGCGGTTAACACCAAGTCACACACAACACGGAGTAATCGCGTTTGTGGTGTGTTTGCCACTCTCAGGCCAGGCATTAGAGACTTAGCCTGCAGCTGAGAACACTGCTTACTGAGACTTTCCCATCACCCCCCTCATGCTTCTAACTCTAACATGTCTCTACTCCTGTCCTGTCCTTATTAATTGACATTTGACATGTGTATGCATGTGTGCTAACCTCCAAGTCATCTGTCTTGGTGTTCCTGCAGATAATTTGTCTCACTGGCGCCATGCTGCGCTAAACTAGGATCTGCCTGCTTTCAGTTGACTGTTGCACATTTTCTGCCAGGTCTAATTGGTCCTCTTTTTGGTCTCCTTCATCATGATCACTGACTACTGAGCCAGTTTTGTTTCCTGTGCTCCTCGCCGTCTTTATGATTTTAAAAAACAAACTGCTGCAACTTGGCAACTGCATACTGTCCCAATGGCATCTTGTTGAACGTTTTACAGTACTTTTCGGCATCTGTCAAATCAGCTGTCCACATCAGCCCTGTAACACTGTGAAGCCTCACTAGTCTGCAGTCTTACCTTTTTTAAAGTGTGATGCATTTTTAATCATCTCAGCTATGTTGTCACTCGATTTTTCTCCTCTGTAGAACATCTGTCGAAGGAGAGCTGTTGAGCCATATGTGATTTGATTTGTCAGAATAGGTTTTCGCGAGCTCCAAAAGGAGTGCCGGCACAATTAAAGCAAAGCAGCAGAGGTACACTATTGAGAAACCTGGTGCCACCGGAAAGAATTGCCACATTTGTCAGGAGTGGAAAAATTGGCAGCCTGTGTGTTGCCCTGGCCACAGTCTGAACCGTTAATGGGGATATTTTCAATTAGTCATGCCTCCAGGAGCAAGGCATGCTCTCGCTGTATTTACAACCTGACCTACCCATTGTGTGCCACTCTGCCTTGTGGCCAACAGATTAGTAAGCTCTATTGATCTCTCTGACCATTCTAAACTGTTATTCCCCCCCACCCCCAAACTGTATTTTACCTCAAACCATCTTTCTTCTCCTTCTACCCTGCCTTCCTCCTTCTTCCCATTGTCTTTCCTGAATTACCAGGAACACTGGGCGAAAATGGGTTTCTGATATCGCTGTAACAGCCCTGACCCCAGCCAGCTCATCTGTCCCTCTGCTGTTGATTCATTTCACAAGCCTTTCAGCTTGCCTTGCTCTCAGCTGAGCCATTCCTGCTTTGACAAACACAAATGGATGCTCTGCTGCAAACAAGATTTTTTTTTTTAAAGCTAACTGTTAAATGGACAGCCTCCAGTATGTTGACAGTCATGTGAACAGCAGCGTTGCGTATGCTTTGGTTCAGATGTATTAAAATGAATAAAGCTACGGTCCGAAAGTAGGTCTTGGCGTGCGCCATTGTGAATCTGTCATGTGGAAATGCAGCTTTCTTAAACTGATTTGTATCTAGGTAATTGTGGTGATGGGCTGTAGAGTTTATTCATTCAACTATATAGAACTCAAACCATAACATTGAGCTGAACATATTAAGATGATCAATTTAACGTTAGTAATTTTTTAAGCAAGATGGGGGGAAAAATATAGAATTGTTCCTGCTTCTCAAATGTGTATATTTTCTGATTATCTTGGTCCTCTGTGATATAGAGCTAAAGTCTTGGTTTGGACTGTTAGTCAGCTTGGGCTTTGGGAAAATTATATGGCTAAAGATAGTCCTAATCAACTAGTAGTTTGTTCAAGCCAATAGTTGACTAGTCGTTGAACGTTTTTTTAATTATTTCAGTATATATTTTTCAACAGCTGTCTGTTAAATGTCAACAGAAAAAGCGTCAATGATTCTGAATGTGTTGGAAAAACCAGCAAGGACACTGAACTTTTAGTTACACAAAAACAAATACATGCGGATTTACTGATACAGTGGACCGCTAATGGCAGCGGCTTGGTAGCAGTTACCACATGTAGCAGTGCTGTGTACTGTGATTATCCGATTTATGAAAAACTAAGACTCTTCTCATCGACCAACAGTTTACCTGACTATAAGGGCCCAGATGAATCAATAATAAATACCCATCATGGTCGACTGTGACTGCAGTCAGATCAGCAGTGACAGGTATCCCTTCTCTTTCATGTAGGTATGACAAGGAGGGTCATGCCATAGATGGACAGTCTCTGACGGAGATGAAAGGTGGCAGCGGGGGAGGAAACACCAACTGGAAGACTCTATCTGATGTTAAGACAGAGCACCTGGGACATGGAGACAAGGTACACACGTGCTCAGCGTTGCTTTGACGCACTCAAACATTCAAGATATGGTAACCCCAGACATATTGTTATTCAAGGATGATTCTTTGAAGATATTCAAGGACAAGCTGAAAGACTGGTGTTGAATCCAAAACAACAAATATGAAAGTGCTCACAGTCAAGCTGCATTTCCGCATGCTACACATTGCAGGTCTATATAGCCTCGCTACAGTGTAACCTTGTCACTCACAGCTCTGCTCTACAAAGGTACTTTTAGTGGAGAGTCAGTGTGATGAATCTTCATAATCACAGACTCATAAAATCACTGCCCACCACGTATTTGTGCTTAAAATCCGATCCCACTAAGGTCGCTGATCTTTTTCTGCTCATTAATTCCCTCTGTATTATGGGTGTCCTCTCACCGTCTTGGTGTATGTTCATGGTGAAAGTCACATTTATCTCTGGTATTGATCACCAAGATTACATAGGCTCTATTCTTTGCCCTCTGTAATGAAATTACTGCCCTCAGATAAGTAAGGTAATATGTTTTTTAATTTCCCCTTTTTTATATATTTATATATATATATATATATATATATATATATATATATATATATATATATATATATATATATATATACATACACTGTTGAGAGAAACTGCTCACAGAAGTGTATAAATTGTCTTGAGCGAATAATGGGACCTATGCAGAGATCTTAACTTGCTTAATTTGCCATAATTTAACATGCTCTGCACATTAGTAATCATCACAGTATGATGAAAATATCCCATTAAAACTAGGGCAGTTAATAGGTGCAATGTGTGATAGGGTGCCATGATTTTGCTCTGGATGTAAAAGACGAGTATGACACTGGATATTGTCTATTTGGAAGCCCAGAGAAGATTTGAGGGTTCATGATTCCCTATTAAACAAAGAAGTGGAATAAAACACGGATTAAACAGGAGCAGTAGTTATCTGTAAGTCTTAATTAAGTGAAAAATATGTTTTGGCGAATGAGTAATTTAAGGATACCAGTGGTGAAACTGTATGCGTTTGTCTGCTGCCTGAGGCTGCGAGTGACCATGTCCGACTTCTGGTGCCCTCATAATTCTTTCTTCTATTTCCAGAACTTCAGGATTCCCTGTCACAGATAGTAAATGGCTTATTGCTCCCGCTCATACCTCTTTTAGTGTAGCCACTCCAGTGATTCTATCATCTGGAGGCCTACAATGCAGCTTAAACAGTCCCATCTATTGCTTTTTTTCTTAAATTCCACACCCTGAATCCTGACTGTAACCATTAGCCCCCTGTCAGGTGAAGGGCTTCTCCTGGCATTAGCTCCCTGCTGTTCAGGAGGAAAGGTTTGACCCTGGGCTATGGAGGCTCTTGCTCCTCTTCAGGTTGGCGTGTGATGAGGCCCGGTACTGACAAAGGAGCTGAGCCAAAGCTGTCCTCAGCCCCTCCGAGACATCCTATACACAGGGGCATGGGGGTCAGGCCTTTCAAGACCCACCCTAACCAAAGTCTGTTGCAATTAATTGTCCCTGTCACAAAGTCTTTGTGTCACAATCTCAAGTTTCCACATTGCTCCCGTGCCCTCTCTGACAGTAAGTGGTCAACCTCCCCTTTTTGGCTTGACACTGCATTTGTAAAGGCCTATGACAGAGGCGAGAAACAAGTTCTTCTGTCCTCTTCCCACTGCGACAGCCCTGCTCAGTCACACGCTAATTGAAGAGGTATTTAAGTGATTAATTGGACCTCTTCTGGAAAAGCCGCAAAGGTTGATGTGTGGGTTGTTTTTGGTAAATCAAAACGGTAATTAAAAAAGCATAGCCAGTGGCTCCTTGTGTTGGAACAGGAGGATTTTCTCTTTATTTTGTTGCTGTCATTTACCACACTCCTAAGGGCCTTTTACTTAGCCAAGGTGATGTGGAATATCAATTGTCCTGTTTTGGAAGTTAATTGGGGTCAGAAGTCCTTCGCATGTGAACAGTGGTCAGCATTTGGAGAATAAGGCGAGAGGAAATAATTGATTTTCATTGTACTTTCATTGTACATTGTAGGGAGAATAGTTTTCCTGTTTATTTCTTTAGCAAATGTTAGAACCATTAGTACAGTAAGAGTAAACGTTCAGTGTACCACTTGGCAACACATCTCTTAGTTGTGTACTAAGTTTGAAAAAGCTGTTCTTGACAATGAAAATGAATCAGGTAGCAAATCACTGACATATTTTAAAGATGCATTTAATATTCCAGTCCATTCAACTCTTAATTACAGCTGACTGTGGCCTTCAGTGTTTCTTCACAGCTAACATAACTCAATTTACATAGTGGCATTGATGATTGGTTGATGTACTTGAATGTTTTAGCTCCAGGGTGGCAGGCCCGTTGCTCTGCTCCCTGACCCTGAACAGGCACCTTTTAGCCTCCATCAAAGCATGCAGGGACCCAGTCTCCTCTCTGTTACCACAGCCAATGCTGAGATTAGTAGGAGGAGGAGACACTGTCCAAAACAATCAGCTGTTCAGGAGAGACAACTATCTGTCTTGTGTATTAGGGCCTGCCTTGCATGAGGAAACCTTTCCAGAGGAGGAGAGGTGAATGTGAGTCATCTGCAAACATGTCAAAACTTTTCATCTCTTCATTACAGCACATCCAGAGCTGCTTTTTCTATTCATGTATTTCTATCCAATGTGAAATTCATGTCACTTACTCGGGTGTTTTCCGTGCTCACTAGGAATGTTTCCCGAAGGCTGTTTATATGCAGCCAGTTTCTAAAGTTTGCCTCTTCCCCACAGAAGCAGCAGCTCCTCACACGTTTGCATTTATGTCAGTGCCATTAGGATTCTGGTTGGGAGTGAAACTTGTGCATCTGCTACACAAATTTTGCTTTCTGACTGTTTACATACACCAGTATATGCTCCTTAAAATGTCATCTTAATGTTAATTTCATGCTGTTTTTATTCCTGGTTTTCAACAGTCAACATATTTAACATACGAAACACAAAGGTCGTGAGAGAGAGAAGACATCTAGTAAAAAGTTTTTATTGTTTGTTTATATTCCCTTTTAGGCGGACTACTACACTTGCATAGCTACCATAGTGTACCTGCGCAAGGAAAACTGCCTATACCAGGCCTGTCCCAGCCAAGACTGCAACAAGAAAGTCGTAGACCAACAGAATGGCATGTTCCGCTGTGAGAAGTGTGACAAAGAGTTCCCCAACTTCAAGTACCGCCTCATCCTTTCTGTAAGTGACTCAGCCCTGGCTTCCTCATTCATCTCACACATGCACTCACACACACACGCATACTTGTATGCTAATGCACATATCTTAAATGCCCAGGTGTCATGCATATTCCTGTGCAGGTGCATCTGCTGAGGATATGGATATCATCCTTCTAGTCTTTCTCATCTTTCTGTTCTCCTGACTTACTGTCCTCATTCATGTTTCTGTCTCCTAGAACTCAAGTCACTCTCTCCCCTTACGGTCCACTCCCTGTGGTTCAACATTGCTCCAGTTTGCACTTTGCAGTTACATTTAGAGGCATTTAAAGCACATTTAAAGCACATTTTAACACTTGTTTAAATCTGAGAGATGTCATGTTAATTGCTGCAGCTTTCAGTATTGTGATCTTAGTTATTTTGCAGGGAGTAACACAAATGCAAACCCTCTTCAGCTTGTTTGCAAACGAACATTTAAAAAACAAAAACAACATTGCATACAGAAACTGACTTAGTCAGCAACATAGCAATTGCAGCCAGGCATCTGAAATAAGCGGCTTTTGTTTTGTACCACTCACAACTCAACATATTGTTGTTCTTCACAAGCTGTAGCATAAGCTGTGAATTTGCTTCCACTGTATGTATCACAAGAGCACCGTGACTCTGCGTGTTTTGCCAGGCTTGCCAGCAGGATATAGGCTCATTAGAGGATGTAATGATTTCCTAAGAGCAGAGAGATGTGTTAAGTTAACATACCATATTTAAGCTATCAAAAAAAAGAGTACATTGATCTGTACATATGTATGCATCTAACTTTTCTTACCATTTACTCTTGCCTTTTCTTTGCTATATTATCTGACAGGCCAACATTGCAGATTACGCGGACAACCAGTGGGTGACTTGCTTCCAGGAAAGTGCAGAGGCCATCCTGGGCCAGAATGCAGCTTACCTGGGGCAGCTCAAGGACTCGGTGAGACTCCCCTTCCTGAATATAATACTGGCCTCAGGAAATGGCCAGGGCAAGAGCTAAACCTCAGACTTGGTGCCAAACTCTCTCACACTCTCGCACACTCTTTCTCTGTCTCTCAGTTGTCAGACACTTTATTTTGCATTAGGATTAAATTAGCAAACGACATGTGTTCATCTTGAAATTGAGCCAATCAAATCTTTCTTATTTTCAGAACGAAGCTGCCTTTGATGAGGTCTTCCAACAAGCCAACTTCAACACTTTTGTCTTCCGCAGCAGAGTGAAGCTAGAAACGTATAACGTAAGTAAAGCAGGGACGGTAATTAGTCTGATAAAACGCCTCCGGGTTTGTTGTCATTGCAGCATGCTTTTGTAGGCGGACCATATTTCTGCAATACAATAGAAAACATGCCTGGAAGGAAGAAAAAGGATGCAGCCTCAATCCCTTGAACCACCATCATTCCTTTCCAAGCTGAAAATGCACAGCACGTAAACAGGTTCTTTATGTTTTAGCTGTTTGTGGGCTTTTTCTCTTTGATAGTTTTCCCATTGATTAACAAAACGACCCTGCTTTCATTTTGACTGACAGAACTGTCTCTAAAAAAACAGTTTGTCCTTAAATGCTGCTCATTTTCAGTGGCAAACAGATTAGTCGTGGTCACTGTTTCCTGTAGACCACACAGATAGAGGTTTGTTGTGAGGGAAGCGCATAAAAGAATTGATTGGGCTGGGACTCTGAGCAGGAAGTCTGGAGCCGAGCCAGAGGCTGCATCCGCCTTCAACGCACAGAAGAGGCCACTGTGTTTGTCACATTCAGCTCAGCATCCGAACTGCCAATGGCACTGCTACAAGCATGTATTGGCTGCTGCCTCCAAACCCCATATTCCTTCAACAGGGACACCTGCAAACCCTTCTTTCAGTTTATTTTGTGCTTCTCAATGCTACAAGCCAGACATTGTGCCGTGCCCTCACATGTTGTCATGTACACAATGTTGTATGTGCTTGATGTGGGACTGAGCAGGTCCTTAACAGTTAATGACACCCATCCATCTTGTTGTATCATAGGGAGACTTGAGCTTTGACTGGGTTCTCTAACAAGGTTTATCAGAACAACTGAGGGAATTATATTTTTCATTTAATTCAATCAAGAACCGGCAACAGTCGCATGAGGAGTATGATGAGATTATCCATTATAATGACTTTAAAACATGGTCACCTTGGCTATAGGCTAACTAATGCTGCAAAGGCAGATGTTTAGCCATATGCTTGAAGCTGTAACGTTTAATCAATTAGTCAGTCAAAAGATGTTTTTGTATAATCAATTGTAATTTTTTAAGGAAATTAACCTAAATTTTCCTTGTTCAACATGTAAAATGTGACTATGATCCTGTTTATTATTTTGGACTGTTCAGACAAAACCTGCAATTTCAAGACAACGTGATGGGCATTTTTCATAATTTTCTTTAAATACTAGATTTAATAGTGAAAATAATTGTTAGTTGCAGCCCTTCACAATATATTAAATAGAGCTAAATACATCTAACTTGATTACTATCACATCATTACATAAAATAATGATAAAAGACTTGTTATAAACATGGAGCCTTGTGATACATTTTAAACTAAAGTTTGTCCATCCATAATTAATGTCATTCTGGCTTTAAAATTCCTCAATAAATGAGCATACAGCCCTTTTTTTAGGATAAATATGGGGTGCCTGTGATTAATTACAGTGTATTCATCAAAACAAGTGTGATATGCAGTTGGTTCATGTGGGCGTAATGCGTAATGTAATTGTCACATAAATCGATGTCAGAGTTGTATTTTGTTATTCAAAATGGCGATGTTTTGATATGTGTAGGTAATTGTGTTTTTACACTCCAAATGTCAGTGCATGAATGGCTTAATTACTATAAAATGTGTTATTACTGTCAAAACACAATCTTCTAAAAATGATCACTTTAGTACTTGAGTCTTTGACAGTCTTAAATGTTTAACTTGCCTGACACCAGGAATGTCTGCTCGAGGCCATAATATTCAAATTGTTGCTGTGTCGTTATTAAGGTCTCATGGTCCCTGTAGGCGGTGTCTAGACATTGTAACTGATTTAAGTGTCTCAAAAGGATGACACCGATGGAGAAAGTGATATTGAACATTCAAGCCTTTTCACTGCAGCACTGGCCCAGTCTTGGCCACTGCAGGCCCAGTTTCAAACTGAAATTTAGTGGATTTCAAAGCCAACAGCTGGTCGACTAATATTGTCTTACAAGATGCTAATTACATAATGAAGCCTGTTACATTATTCTGGGGTTACAGTGAAGGGAGTCAGTGTAGAGAGGAGTGGTTTCCAACACTGGTTGTCCTGGTTAAGAACCACTGATGTAGTGTTGTGTGCAATGATCTAATATACAGGTAACACCTAGGTTAATGAATTCAAGTGAAGATTTGCCTGATTAAGTAACTCATCAGATCCTGATATGAGTGCCTGTGCCAATTTTCAGCCAACTTGTAATCCCTCTCTCTTCTAAAGGCTGCATAGGAAGTAAAGTGTGTTATTCCTCTTGTGCTTGTGTGTGTATACACACTCGCAGTGGTGGCTGTAAGGGGAGGCAGCAGAGTATGTCCAAGTGGGGATCAACACCCAACTTGGCTGTGTGATGTCGACTGCTTGCAGATTCAAACACACATCTCATCTTACTCACCCACTCATCAACTACAACCACAATCAGCATTACTGTCAGTGTGGATGTGGGATACCACAAAAACACTCTTATAATGCCCTGTTCATACTGCAGTTCTTTCTTTAAGATGAGCAAGACACCATTCATTTTTAATGAACTGGAGGAAGAAACCCTATTCTTATTGTAAAACAGTATAAAACCAAATGAAAAAATAATGAATAGATTGGTTTGACCTTTATGTTATCTACTTAAATTTAATCCTAAGACTTGTACAACAGGAGTACATATAGGGGTGGGCAGTCTGAAGATTTTAGATCATGATTGATCTTAAAGGTGTCTACAACCACTTTTCAGGCAAATTATAGAGATTGCTGTATTTAATGTCTTATTTCTTTCCAAACTTAACTTCACCGACTTGCTGATCTGCACTGTATGAACCAATAGTGACGTAGCAAACGAGACGGCTGTGCTGATTGGACAAATTACTTCATGCGGCTCTTCCTTGGCTCATGTATTATAAAGAATGCAGCGCCTTCGATGTCGGTCATATGGGAATGCTTTGGATAGGCAGTGTCAGATATTTTCCAAGCCTGTAAATGTTGAGCTCTACTGTAGGAAATACAACAATGTTTATATCCATGTTTGCTAAATTGTCGTCCTCTGCATGTCCTGTCATGTACCAACTATAGTTGCGCTACTAGTAACCACACGTAATCCTTCTACTGCACACTGAAGAGGGATTTTAACCTGTTCCCCATGTCACATATATTTCCTAACTAATGCCAAGATAGTGGGCTGGAGTGACTTGTCTGTTTTTATGCAATGCAATTAGTTTATAGGGTGTCTTCATTCTTGCTCATTGTTTTATATGTCAAACCATGATGATTAAGTTTTCACTTATTTTTTATTTTTGTATATAATATGTCCGTATTTCTCCTGCCTCACACAAAACAAGCAAAGAGATTTATAGCAGGCTATTCTTAAAGACTGTGGGCAACAATCCAAAGGAAGATGATTTACATTTCACCCACTTGAGCTGCAGAGGATTAATGGAGACAAAATGAGTGTAACCTCTGTTTAAATGCAGAGAATAATGGCCCTGGTAGAAATGACCTTCCCCTGTCTAGACAGCTGTGGAGGTGGTTATGGCTTTAAAAGCGGCCTCTTTTTTTGTGAAAAATTGACTTGAATGCCAACACAATTCAGATACCCAGTCCAAACGTCTCACATTAACCCACTTTGTCACAGAGAAGGTGCCAATATTGTACGTTTGTGTGTGTGTGTGTGTGTGTGTGTGTGTGTGTGTGTGTGTGTGTGTGTGTGTGTGTGTGTGAGATCCAAGCAGACATGAACAAGTTCATTTTCATACCAATGGGTTTTCTTGTTTGTCTGACAGGACGAATCCAGGATCAAGGCTACAGTGATGGATGTGAAGCCCGTTGATCATAAGGACTACAGCAAGAGGTTGATCATGAACATAAGGAAACTGTCTGCCTAGTAGCAACTTGTGACAAAGTATTGTTTTTTGCTTGCCTTTGCAAGATTCCCTTTGTTTCTGTACAGCCAACAAACAGCTCTAAACGTATGAAAATGTTTTGCCTACAAGGTGATTGTTTTGTTTTTTTCATCTTCCTGTGAATGAGTAATCCCATATGTACTTGCAAATGTTGACCTTTCTTTTGAAGAATAATGTTTGGTGACCTAATTCTGACTACTTTTTTTGTGGTTAACGTAATAGACAATGGTTTTCACCTTACTCTTTTGTTACTCGGGGAAGCAGAGAAGACAGTGGGTCAGGTCAGTAAGCCACAGAAGAAATCATCACTGTCTGCCTTAAGTCAGCCAGTTGTTCCAGCATGTACTGTGGTCATGCGGGGGTGGTGGCTGCTTTCAGCAGAGGACCAGCACAGTGCTAGCACTCAAAATGGCTGGGCTGGACCTGCACATCCCTGATAAGACCGTTTACTCTCCCACTCTCTTTTTCTCCCCTCCGTCTCCTACATACTTGCAAACATAAGCACATATACACATGCACAGTACAGACTTAATGGGAAATGTACTGCATTCTATTTAAGTGGATACAAGGTGTTGTCCATATTTTCAATGCCTGTTAGTGTATGTGTGTTCTATATTTCTGTAGTTCTGTCTTTTTATTTTTGTTTTGATGATTAACTCTGAAAATAAATGTTTGTAATCAACTTATTGACTTGTACAATGGCTTTCATTTGTTTCAATTTAAGTACCTAACAGTAATGTGTAAATCTGTTGAGCTGACACAACCAACCCTTACAGCGCCTGATCTGAGCCTATTAAAAGCAAACGAAAACATGTAGATTATTTCTTTTTTTTTTTTTTTTTAAGAGTTGCACCATGTGTATGGGATTTATTCAAGGGCTGGCACACAATGCCCTCTATCTCCTCAGGTTTTGCTCAGATGTGCAACAGATTCCCCTGCAAACTTGACTTTCATGTTGTATTAAAGCAGAGCATCAGTGAGGCTGCACCTCCCCATATTTCTTGTGATAACATCTCGTTTCTGCGGAGCGCTGCGTCTGTTGCCTGTAGTGTGCTGAGATGGATTAAACCTCTCTTTAAATGGTAAGGAAAGGTACGTTGGACTTATTTATTTCATTTTGCCAGGCATGCTCGGAGATATTGATTTGAGTTTGCCTGTGATCGCATTCCCACATCTCGTTGCTGACGCTGTTTGGTTATTTGAACTATTAATGTGCTTCCTCTGTTTTTCCTAGAGGTTGCAAGACATCTGTGAATCTTTTATAACGCCACAAGTCCGTTACTGTTGTAGGTAATGTCAAAGGTTGCCAGTGATGCCTCACCCCATTCCTGCCTCAAACTCAACAGAACAACAGGAAGAGCCTGATAGGACCTGGTTCCTCCTTAGCCATCCAAACTGAAACATTCTATTCAGTGATGCACACAGCGCTGCTGAGAGAGAGGAAAAAAAAAAGGTTGTACTTCTGCCAGGGTAAATCTAGCAGTTTCCCTTGGGAGTCAGAGGAAGAGAGTTATTTTCTGCCCTCATTTACATCTGGCATCCCATAAGCTTTTATTTGAAACAAGAAAACTGTAACTATTGTTCAACCCTCAGCTCAAGTGAAGTCCTTTGATAATTCAGTTCGCACACCTGTTTTGTAATTTTGATTAAGCTGATTACACCCTTCTAGTTAAGTAAAAAATTAGATTGTAATGCATTTATAATTGATTTTGCACTTGTTAGAGTGAGATTGGCAGATTAAACGGGACTGAATTACATTCGTTACTCCGGAATAGTTTGCTCTTGCTGTTTTTATTAGGAGTAGATGAGCGTGGCTAAATAGAATTGTCACACAGCATGGTGAAAATGAAAAATGTTGATTATAATATGAGTTGGCACTCTGCTGGGGTCATGGGTTTGTTTCCATCCCATCACCATTTACAGCATACTGAAAATGTAAAATGGTATCTATTAGAGGCACTTCTGATAAAGGTTTTGATCAAATGTCTTAATTTATGGTTGTAAGAGAACCAAAAACCTGTGACGGATGTCAGAAATGAAAACAAGTCAAAGGCATAATTGCACACAATGTTTTTTATTTATTTATTTTTTTTTTTATTTTTTTAAATATTTGACATTAGTAAGCACATTGAAAATTTGTGCATAAATACTTTGAAAATGTCGAAACTTAATGTGGGTCATAAAATAGGCTACATACAAGGCAGCATTTTCACTAATTATTGTGCTAATTATCCAGCATTGCCGCTGTGGTATCAACAGATGCCACACTGTTGAGCCATTGATTGCCTTGTTGCTGGGCTCATCTGTTATGTGTTTATGGGTTTGACATTTTCTGTCCTGGCCTGGGAAAATATCATTTATACGTTTTTATGTCAGACTTAAAGAACATCAATTTTATTCTAAATGCAATTGCCCATAAGATTGAGCACCTAAGGCGCATTGTAATTTGAGCAGTGTTTGCTTGGCTTTGTATCCCCGTTTAGATGCGTTGGCAGCTGCTCCCATCTTTTCAAGAATAGATACCTCTCATTTCGATCAACTCTTAATTCACTTTGGCGTTCAGTACTGCACATAACAGGTGTGCTAAGGTTTAAAGACTCAGGTTTCATTTGCAGCCAATCACCAGAGGGAGGTTAAGGTGTAGAAGATGTACTGTATTCTTCATCATTAGGCTGATAATACATGCCTGATTAAATATTAACTCGTATACATACCAATGCTTCATCAACAAATACAACATTATGTAACTATGATGCTGCCTCCATGTTGCTCTAATGAGACAAATTGTGTGGTATGTTGTTAGGAGCTGCTGTTATATGAATACGACAGTATTGCCTCCATATTTCTCACAGCTTAATGTGTGTACTTGTACACAAAAGTAGATTTGTAGATACAATTAGCTCTACCTTTAATAGCCAAACAGTAATTATAATCCAGTGATGTAAAATCCTTCTGTAATGGGCCATTCTGCATTATGAGTACTACACTATGGTATTGCTACTTTTACTTAAGTAAAAGATCTGAGTACTTCTTCTATCACTGGTTGTCTTTTCCTTTGCTCTAAGGCACATACCTAGCCATTTTGTGAATGAAGCATTTAATCCTATGCTAACTCAATTCTATATATTAATGGAATCTGTGTAATGGCACTATTACAGAAATTGAATATGCTCTGATAGTCCATATTCCACCGGAATATGAAACCAGTCTAGCTGTGGGGTCCAGTCAAAGTAATCACCAGTCTAGTCTTTAACATTATGGAGTGCTTAAGTACTGACAATATATTCACATACCGTAGGATGTGAATACATAAAAAAAAAAAAAGAAAAAGCACATATGCAAATCATTGAGTTATTGTGTTCGTATTCAGTCTGCAGTGCCTTATCCGTGGCCTTGTCCTGTCTGACGGTTGTTTGTTTTATTGCTGGTGCTTCTCCTTTGGACCTGTGGAGCCCGGCAGGTTGAGACTCTATGCTGATCTTAAAGTAGGGAAAGCCTGTGGCCCTGACACTATGGAGACAAATGGGCAGGAGGAAGACCCCTGGGGTGCTGTTGTAATGAATGGGAGTAAGCAGTCTGTGTGTTTTTCAAGATTCATGGGTCTCGTTCCTTTGCTAGGCCAGGGGTATGTTAGCTTATGTGTATGAGAAGGGACAGGTGCAAGACTTTGTTTGTGCTTGAGCACGCAGCAGCCAAGTCTAGACTAGGGACCTGTTGACCAAACACTGGCCATGTGGATGCAGCATTTTTTTCCCCCTCACTGGCCTTGCCAAGAGCTGTGCTGGTGATTGGAGAGAATAAGTGTTTCTGGCAGGATCTGTGCTCAGTCTTCAAATGGGGTGTGGAAAATTGCACTGACAGTCAAAAAGTCTGGCAGGTGGAGAGCTGATCGTTACAATAATTGTTGCAATCAAATAAAGTAATAATCCATTGTTGCTTCTGAAAAGCAGTGCAGATTGAATCTGTAGATACAAATGTGTATCGGGCCCCTATCCTGTTTCCACTTTAATTGGATTTGGGTGTAGATAGAGTTCTGTTTGTCTTCTCAAGCACTAGATTATAAGGCCATGTAGCAAATTTGTATTGTTATTTTCTCTGCGTTGTGTCCTTGTCATTGTGAGGGCCAGAAGTCCCGAAAAACACAGTTTACTTTGATTCGATTTCAATGAATTGTTTTCAGTTTTGTGTTTTGTTTCTCCATCGCAACTCTTCTCAGTTAAATGTCAGACTAGGGACAGAGTTGCTTTGTACAATTCTCATGGTAAATGTGGTAGCAATCTCTGATCCACAGATTATATACTTTTAGCTGGTGCAATATATTCTCCTATAGACTAAACAGTTCAGGTAATATCATACAAAGTGGACATGGTGTAATGGTTTGATATTTTAGGGCCTAGAATGAGACTGATGTGATCTCTGGGGTAGACAGTGTTGTTTAGTTGGTTTATAAAACAGTTACTTACTTTTGAGCCTCCACTGAAATGCACATGAGTTTCTGTTTATTTATTCGAAACAGAAGATTATTTATACTTGTTTAAATTCTGTCCTGTAATTCAACATTCAGTAACCTTTATCTCGACTGTGTGCGTGAGAGGATCTTATTCTTATACCGAGGTGATATGAATGTGGCTCTCAGTCTAGTTTACCTCAAACATTGCTATAGGAAAGAACTGGATTAGATGTAACAACACTTTTTATCTTTGAACACATATATAAAAAGGTCTTATGTTAGGTAGGTCTGGAGGTATAAATCCCTGAGGATGGGACCATTTTTTCTTCATCATGTAAAGAAACAAGGTAGAACGTCCATTAAACTGTACCTATAGGTTAGGATGATATTGTACACACCAGCATCATCTCATCTCATCTCATAAACAACAGAACAACCTTCCTGTAAACACAGATCCTCTAAGGAGGCTGTTTGTGTTGCATATACAGTCTATTGACATAATTACTGCATGTATATATATATATATATATATATATATATTTATATTAATATTTATATTGAATGAAATTAATGAAAATCATTCATGAAAAATGAAAATACAAATAATTTGGCTTGGATTCCATATGTATGAGGAAAGACGATGTTTGTCAGGTTTTTTTTTTTTTTTTTTAAAGGACCAGAATCAGCACCACAGGGGCGTTTTGAAAGGTGCTGGTAGAATATTTTTCAGATAGTCATTACAGTGAAGGAGGAAAGGAGAAAAAAGGAAAAACATCAAAGGTTCAGCACGTCACTGAAATTACTATTCCTAGTATGGTTTCCAATATCAAAATAACTTTGAAGTTTCATGTTGCTCTTTTGTAAACCTCACAAAGGAACTGACACCCCATGCTTTGAGATCCGCTGGTCTTCATTCTGTATGTACAGGTGCGGATGACCTTGTCTAGGTTCTCTTTAATTGGATGACCCAATGCTTTGAATAAGGGCTGCTCATCATTGAATATTGAGGACGGGAATCATCTCTGAGTTCACTGAAGTGTCAAGATAACAAGTGATTAGACAGAGAAAGGAGACATGGTGCGAGACTGTCAGAGTCCATCAACATACTGAAAATATCAAATCTATGTGTCCATTTCTTTCCCCTCTGGAAACACTTCTGTCTCCCTGAATGAACCGAGAGAGCCTTCTAAACAGTCATTTATTGTGATCCTGATACTGTACAGTTCAGTTATTGGA